ATCTGGCCCTGCTTTAGTAAACACTGCAGGCTCATCCAGCAACCCCATTTGCACCCATCTGCATCAACTTAAGCACAGCCCTCACCACCACTCCACAGCACGGTGTTCAAGAATTCAGACTATCAGTGCACACCCATAACAGCATCCCACCCCCAGAGCAGGGAGCAGCAAACAGGTGCAGCACAAAGCCTCGTGGCTGGAGCTGCTTTTGGTAGCACAGTCAGAAGAGCACCAGGGCACTGGCATCTCAACAATCCCAGGAGAAGTATTTGCACACAACTATTGGCAAGCTCTCCAGCACTGGAGCTGGTTCCTGGCCTGCTCCCCACCACAGCACAGCATTTGCCCAAGCAGATGCCTGGAAGGACACGAGCAGGGATCTGGCATCTGCAATAACTATTAAGGTATAAAAGGTTGTTTGTTAGCAGGGCAGCATGTGGCTGATTGCTGCCATGGCTCTGTGTCTGCCACTGACCCACTTCGCTGTTTGCTTGTGTTCCCAAAGGATGGAGCAGCCCTGAAAACATGCCTGAACCCAACCACTTCCACACCCAGTACCAAGGCATCAGGCCTGGCCCTTACAGCCAGTGCCCCCCCCAAAGCAAGGCTGCCATGGGAACACCCAGTGGGGTGCAATGCACAGGGCAAAGCTGGCAGCTTTCCGGATGCCAATGGAGAAGAAGGCAGCAGACCAGGCAAACTCATGTCTGCAGAGGACTACGGTGTTACAAATAGCTTGTACGAGGGAGCAGAGAAACCAAAGCTTGCTAGGAAAACAGCAGAGATGTATGGAAGACACGCTGACGCAGCCCACATCTAGAGGAAAGAATAACAGCCCCTCATTTTCACGAGCATTAGAGCTCACAGCATGCTCAGTCTCACAGGAGTTCTGGTTTCAGCCCATTCTACCATTCACACACCGTGTGCTGGAGATCATCCTGCAACACATCATCAACATCTCCAAAGAATCCCAAGGTGACTGCATTTAAAATGAAACTTGCAGTACCCTCCAGGAAAGCCTTGGAGCTGACGTGCCCAGGGTAACAGAGACAGCAACCTATTTCGGGATGAGTCGTTGCAAAGCAGCAGCCTGTGGTGCTGTGCCAGACTCTGCACCTGGGGAGAATCCACCACCTTTCTGTGGCTTGCCCTCAGTTCACACCACACCAGCTCCAAAGTAGCAGCCTGGTGGGTTTCATTTTGCAAACCCCATTTTGGTGGGTGTTTCCATGCTTGCAGAGTACCAGGAATACATTATCATGTTTTTTAGGCTCTGCAAGGCAGGAATTGTGTCCTTATTACAGTGTCAAAACTTGCCTCAATCTGTATTACTTGAAGCCAACTGTGAACACACACCCTGCAAACTGTTTCAGCTTGAGGGATTTGTCCAAGGACAGCAGCGTGGCATGGGGGCTGAACACCTCACCCCCATCCTGTTCATGGCAGAAAAATATCCTCATAATACTACAAAGCACTCAGCTTGAGATGTTATAAAAGCTGATACCAAGGGACAGAGAAAAGAAGGATGCTCCAAGAGGTGCTATGGATATCAGTCAAGAGAAACACCTCCAGATGCAGCTCTTATTTAGGATCTGCAGCATGAGATGCAAGGCAGACTGTCAGCAGGTTGTAGCTCAGAACTGGGGGTCTGGAAATAATGCTTAAAAACCTCAGTGTGGGGCATCAGAGGAGAAAGAACCAAGAGCTGCCACAGCTCAGCACTGCAGTGCATTGAAAGAACTGCATGCAAGTTCCAGGGGTGGGCACAAGCTGTGCCCAGAGCTGAGCAATGGGGTGACATAAGGCAGATGCTCAGAGCTGCCTATGACTGCAGGAGGGTCTGTGCATCCACACAGCCAAGGGAGAACTGTGGATGGGCAAAGCACACACAGCACCTGCTCATGCTGTGCCTGGATCCAGTCAGCACTGTCAGCCTCTCACTTAAAAAAAAAAACCCCAACAAATAGAGTTTTCTCCCATCCAAACCTCTCTCCTTCCCCCTCTGAGCTCATTCATGGCTCAGGCTCCGGGACAGCTGCCTGGCTGCCAAGTCCCCCCAGCTCACTCCTCGCCTCAGCACAGAGCAACATGAGCAGGATGATAGCAGGGCCAGCTGTGAGAAATCACTGCACCACTCAAAACAACTGCAGCAGAGAGCGAGCAGGGGAAAAAAAACATAAAACTGCAGCAAGCCCCTCAACTCCGTCCCCTCTGCCTGCCCACTGTGGTCTCATTGTTACAGCGATCCTCAAGTCACCAAGCCAGCCCTGGCCAAAATGACAGCTCATTAGGAACAGTTAAAAAACTACAATGGGTGGGGAGTGCAGAGCCCAGGGAGCAGGCAGTGGATTTTTTCACACCTAGGTGATTGTTTAGAGCACAGCTCAGGTCGATGGAAGTGACCTGGATCCCGGCTGGGCGCAGGGCCAGCAGGCTGCAGTGTGAAGCCCTCAGCTGCTGCAGAGCCCTGCTGACACCCCAGTGCTGCTCGGTGTGAGCTGGGAGCCTGCAGGGCCTTGTAAGCATTTACATTTTATGCAGTCTCTGCTTCCAAGGGTTGCCAAGCTCTTAACCTGCAAGCTCAAATCAAACCCAGAGCCTTCTCTATGGATAACAAACAAAAAAACCCTGTTTGGCTACAGCCACTTACTGCCCCCTGAAACTCCACAGGAACCATTTTTGTTTAAATGAGAGCACAAAGAAGGCAGTGATGCCCATGCTTATGTTTGTGGAAACATATTGTTTCCCCATGGTGACTTGCAGAGTGGGCTCCCAGCCGTCCTCAAGTGACACCAAGCATCAGCACAGGGATGCTGAGGGGATGGAGCTGCTCACCAAACACAGACATCAGGAACAGCACAATCTCAATAGCTTGGCAAGACAGACAGGATTTGGAAAGGCAAATATGCCCAGGAACCCCACTGATAGCAGCTTTGGCAGTCAAACCAACTGTGGCTTGCTGTCCCCAAGAGGACAGCAGTGCTGGGGACACAGCTGACCCCAGCAAGGCAGGAGCAGAGCTCTGTCTCTGCACATGGGACTGAGATGGGGCTCAGAATGCCATGGCAGCTGCTGCTGGTGACAGGACTGCGTGGGAAGCTGAGAAAGAGCAGCAGCACTCAGGCAGTTAAGAACAATTTTTTCTCAGTGTATCACCTTACTGCTCCACAGCCCTCAAGGCAGGCCCTGCAGCCCCTCTGTGGCAGGGCAGCATGGGGCCCTGCAGCCCATTTCAATTTGAAGCCACTCCCAGGCGATCATGCTATTGTCCCACTTTCCCTGTTTGCTGGCTGGCACAGCATCTGGGAGGCACAGCATGGCTGCTCCCCCTCTGCACCTCCTGCTCACGTGGGATACCAGCCATGGCACAGAGCTCTGGGAATTTCCCTCAAGGTTTTAGGTGAGTCTCTGCCTCTGGGATGCTCAGATGCACCCTAAAAATCAGCACCCCCACAACATGCCTCCACACCTCCTCTGTGCTGCACTAGCTCCAGAGGAACAGCAGAGCCCTGATCTGTCGACTCTATTTAGCTTTGCTGCAGGCACATCTGATGAAGCAGAGCTAGAGGTTATGCTGCCTGTTACAAAGCTGGAAATAAGGTTGCAAGAAAAAAATGAACCAACCAAGATAACAGTTCTAGGATGTGCCTGTCACCAGGATGCCTCTGGAGCTGCATGCACCTTCATCTCCCTAATGCACAGTGGTGTTTCTGTACAGAGTTCCTCCAGCACGAACCCTCCCCAGCTTTACTCCCTGCAGGGCAGTGCCCCCACCCTGTTGTGCAGCCATCCCCAGAGTTCTGCCTCTCCTGGATGTGGGCTAAGCACAAGGGAAAGGAACAGGGCTTCACCTCTGCTGTGCAGGGGACGCTTGACTCTTCAGAAGCAGCACTGATTGCACGCGTTTCAGCAAGCCCACGGGCTCCCACATCCTCTCAGCACATGAAGGAACAGCTGACTGTTAGCTAGTCAGGACTCTGGTCCAGATGAACTCCTCCCTTCCTGTCCTCTGCCTTCCAGAAAGCCGCTCTCTCCCTTTGGACAAGTTGATCTCTCACCTACAGCAAAGGCTCTGCCCTCAATAGTGAGAGCAGGAGCTTCTCCAACCTCTTCTGAGATTGCTGTTCCTTGCCAAGTCTCCAGCAGAAGCATCCTGACAGCCTGCTGCCCTCGTTTCCCTGTACCACCTCTTCCCACAGAACAAGCTTGCTGCCACCAGGTGGGATAGCACAAGCTTATCTCTGCCCAAACACTGCTTTTGGGCAACCAGTTTCTTTTTCTTCCATTCCTGCATTGTCTGAGGCTTTGATGTGTGCACAGAAGGGAGGACAGATGGACAGGCTGTGCCCTGTGGGACAGCGATTGCAGGATGAGGTAAGGCAGAAGGAAGTGGGTGCTGTAGGCTGAAGGACAGCTGTAGCTGTTCCCAGGATCTGGAGCAAGCTAATTGATAAATAGCAGAGTCAGAGCTAGAGGAAAGCTGGGCATTCACAGCCAAGAAAGCCTAACTGCTTTGGAAGACATTCTGGCCTTTGTTACACAATTTCCATGCAAAGCACTCACTGTACTCAGAGAGCGAGAGGTGAACAGGGGATAGATAACGCACAGCCCTCACTCATTGCACAGCCCAAAGCACAGCTCAGCGCCATCCTCCAGCTTCCCACCTAGCAAAGAGCACAGCCTGCAGCAGCCAGCACTGCAGCTCGTCCTGGCAACTGCCACTGGAGGAAGCAGAGTAAGGAGCAGCAAGGTTTCAGCCTCAGAGCAGCAGCTCCTGTTGCTTTCACAGTGCCCATGGCCCCTTGGAGCCTCAGATGATGGTAAGCCAAAGTCTTCCAAAAGGAAGACTTAAGAACAGCCAACCAAGAGGTAAATAAAAACTAGTTAGAAGCACCACAATTCACAATTCAGTAAGCCAGCCTAGTGCTGGCCCAGACAACAGCTACATTAACAGAAACCCAGGTCTATTCCCACCAACCAACAAGTTCAACCATGCCTTACCTTACCCAAGCAAACAGCATCCGAGGTCCAGCCAGCACTGCTGCCTGATGCTCAAGATGATCTGACTGAAGGAACCTGGAACAGAAGGAAAAAAGCTGTAAGCCTTCCAAAAGATCCAGGCATAACATGCTCACCACCTCCCTACTGCTCCTCAAGGCTTTGCCTTCCTTTGTCACCCCCAACCCTCCCACCAACACCAAACATACCCAGAGCACTGCACTGCCTTGCCCAACCACTCCACCAAAAAGCAGCCAGCCTCAGCTCAGCCTGACTTATATCAGCTCCCCAGCCCTGTGAGGACAGATGATTACTCTTCTCCAGGTGGGACAGGTTACTCTATGAGCCCCACAGGTGTCCTGGGGAGCTCTTCTAGATGCAATTTGAGCCACTGCTTCTGCAAGACTCAGCAAGCTTTGTATTTCTATGCTTCCCAGCCACAGCAGCAGGACGTGGGCAAAGCCTGTGTGTGCGTGCACCAAACACACGTGCACACCATCGTGTGCAAATTATCTGTCTTCCATTTGTGTTTGGTTTGGCTGCACAGCCTGCTCTCTGCAGGCTCAGCCAGTGGATATCCCGGCTCAGATAAACAGCAGACAGCTGCTGGGAGTCAGAGATATTCTGGTGATTAACAGCTGTGTGGGTCTATGCAGCAGAGCCCCCCGACCCCTGAGATCCCTCCTGAACAGGCTGTTTCTTTTCAGATTTCTGTTTGTCAGGGGAAGGCTGGGAGTGATCAGAGGAGATTCTCTGTGAAAGTCGCAGGTGAAACCCAGTGAGAAGAAGCTGCAGCCCCAAATCCTGTCCCTTCCTCGCCACAGCAACGTTTGAGCTTTGCCAATGGCTCTTGCGCAGCACTGCAGTGCCAACAGCAAAAATGAGACTGCTCAGTCTGAATTCCCTAAGATGGAATTCAGAGATGATCATTTCCAAAGATCTGAGGACATTCCAGGACGATGCTCTGGCTGGAAGGAGGGCTTCTTTCTGTTAGAGAAGAGAACAGAAAGGGATGGAAATCCATCCCTGGTGTGGGACGCCTTACTTACAAGCCAAAGACTTTTTGATGGATGAAGGGGGTGAGAAGTAGGAAGTTGCTCACAATGCGACTACAAAAACAAAGTCAAGAGATTAGTTAATAATGTGTGGTCTGAGAAAACAAACACGTCTTTCCATAAAGACCCTAGTTCAAATAAACCGGTGCTGTTGTCATTAAGCCCTGCCATCTGCACGCCTCTTCTCCACTGAGTCCAGTGTGAAATTTAAAGGGACCACTGAGTGGAGGAAGAGTCCCCAAACATCATCCTGTGGGGCACTTCAAATCCAGATTCCTCCCTGGGTAACGTGTATTGAAATGGGATGTCTACAGTTGAATGTGCAAAGGCAGGAAGCCTATAGTGAAAGGGCTGAGTTCATAGAATGATTTGAGTTGGAAGAGACCTTAAAGGCCACCTGGTCCAACTCCCTGCAATGCACAGGGATGCACACAGCTCCATCAGGAGCTTAGAGCCTCATCCCCTGACTCTGGGTGCCTGCAGGGATGGGGCATCACCAGTTACAGGACGGTCTCTTCAAAAGGCTGAAGCCTGACAAAGTCAGCAAGCATAGGTGCATGGAAAGGGGGCAGGGTGTGCCCATGGGGCTCGTGTCCTCCTTTGGCTCTCAGCTGCCACCATTCGGTGGAGAGCAGAGACCTCCCTGGCTCTGCCCTGGTCATGCTTTCATGCTTGATTGCAGCTCATCAAGGCCCAAAGTCTAATAATGCAACAACTGAGGCTGGGAGCTCCCTCTGACAGTTTAACTGATGGTTGTAATTAGGAACTAGCCCACACAGCTTTTCATTAGTGTGCTGCACCGCATAAGACTTATTATGACTGTTGAGGAGAGGCTGTGCTTGACGTCCAGGAAAAAGGCACGAAGGCCTCCAGGGAACCGAGGGCAGCAATGCCTGGTGTGAACAGGGAGCACACGCATTTTCCAGGTGGCAGGTAGAGTCCTCTGGGCTCCCTGCTTTCTTCCTGCCTTCTCCCTTCGCAAGCAGAACCTGCTTCCCTCACCCGCCCCCTAAGAACCCCCTAAGCACCCCCTAAACAGGGTTTTGTTTGTGTCATTTCCATCCTGCAGCCTCAGTTCTTCTGACTCCTGGGCAACGTCTGCTCTGCTCGTAGCTGTTTGATAGAAGAACTTGTGATTGTAAATGGCACAGGGAAGGAAAGGGAAATAAACTGTTATCATGCCAGAATCACTCCTGGCACTCCTCCCATTCCTATTTTCTCTTACTTTATAAAGCTGGAATAAATCAGAATGATTTTCCCTGGAGTGAGCAGCACACCGATGTGCTGATGGAAGGGGAGCAGAATCAGCACCTCAGGCCTTGCATTGCTGTCCTGAGCTGCAAGTGGTGGGGAAGGGGAATAGAGTCTGAGTGTTTATTAGCAGTCATAACCTTAATCAAATAACACTCAAGGATATGTAAAGAAATCTGTTCCAACTGCAGCCTCCCAAGCCAAATAAAGGAGTAAATGGGACTTCTATCAAAAATCTCTTTTAAAACGCACGCATGTTGGGTCCTGAAAAATATCCCCACTTCTTGTGGAGGAGCCAAAGCTCCAAAGGAGCCACCCCAGAGCAAACCACGGCCCTTCGTGCCACACACCAACCCAACACACTGCAGGACGGCGATGCTCTCCCTGCAGACACCAAAGCAGCCCTGAGGCATCTCCCAGCTCAGGGATGTTGGACCTTGCATTGCAGGAGCCTCATTCACTCTCTTCCCCCCACCTGTGGGACCGTTTATGCATTACGCAGAACGATGTGGGAAAAAAAGAAAGAAAAGAAACAGGCTCTGTGTAATAGAGGTGCACGTAAATAATCACTGGCCTAATCCCCTTTGACAATGAAAGATATCCAACCAGAAAATGTTCAAGCCTGTAACTCAACCTGAAATTTAAGCACAAGGAAGTTGTGTCAAAAGGGGACTTGGGTTCCCATAAAAGCCTCTCTGCTTTCAGACCCTGGGCCCCCAAGCCAAAAAAACAGAGCCAACTTCCAGACATAACATCTGAGAAGTGCAGGCCTCGCAGAGGGACTCGCAAACTGCTGCACAGAGACAGCCACTGGGGAAGGCATGGGGTGAGGGTCCTGGGCGCCTGGTGGGCAGCCTGCTGTGCCAGGGAGGGATGCTCTCCACCACAGGACCTGAGGGATGAGCTGTGTTGTCCTACGAGGTCACTGACAGCTCTCTCCAAAGGGTCATCTTAAAGCCAGCTGGGCAAAGTCCTGCAGAAGCTCCTGTGCAACCCTCCTGAAGCTGATGTGTGACCGTAGCATTTCGCTCGGTGCAGGAAGAGGAGCCCCTGGGCAGAGAGAGGTGGATTAAATAACCTTAATTGTGGTTTCAAGCCTCCTGCTTGACTGCTTCTATTCCACTGAGGATAACAAGTGTGTGAGGTCCAGCGCAGAGAGGGGAAGTGCTTGTCCCTCTCATCCCACTCCTTGCAGCCTCATTAACTCCACTGGAGTGGATATGTCCCTCTGTGAGGACCTGAGGTTAATCAGTGGCCGTAAGAAAGACAAGAAGCAACATGAGCTAAATGCTGGGTTCTCACATCACCTTGTTCCTCTCCTAGCTCATGCCCCATCCAAAGCAAGGCAAGCCACTGGGGCTTCAGTTTGCACACCCATTACATCCACACCCCTAACAGGTCCATCTGCCGTGCCTCTGCTCTGCATGCACACTGCACCCTCTGCCTGCACACAGAGCACCAGCATCCTGGTGACAGAAATACCAGGAGAGAAGTCCTGGGAAAGCAGGCACAGAGCAAAGCCAGTGCAGCTCCGTTGCAGGACTCCGTGGTTTCTGTGCTTTATCTGGCTTTACCCAGAGCCTCTAAACACACGACCCTGCTGGTGTTATGTTTCTTCCCCCGACAGCATCCCTCCTGATACGCTGGGGAGTTTCTCTTTGCTCGTTGGGAATTTTCCTATGAGCTGGTTTCTCATCGGAAAATGCCGATACACTGAAATCAAAGCTGTTGGTGGGAACGCAGCAGTGTCAGGGGATCTTCCATGGGAAAGTTTTCTCCAAACGCAGGCTGGAGCTTTCTGTGTGAGCCAGCCCTTCCCTGCCACCTGGCACAGCAGTGTCCCCCTGGGATGGGGCCACCCCCACCCACTTTCCTCTCCCTGAGGATATCCACCATGAGTTAGCGCGACTTGGGTTGGAAGGGACCTGAAGCAGGGCTGGAAATGGGTTCGGATTTGGGAGAGGCACCACATCGTGAGAGCTGAGTCCTACCCCACACCCGGCTGCAGCTCGGTGGGTCTCCTCGTCCCCTATCCCACAGGCTGTGCCCCCTCAGCCCTTGGAGGTTCTGCCATGGCTGAGACAACAGCACCACCGTGCGCCTCTGCAGCGCCGGGGGAGATGCAGGCAAAGCCCGCAGCTCCCTCTTGCGGCTCCTACGGCAGCCCGGAGATGAGGATGGGGATGCAGGGTAAGCACAACCCTGCCTGAATCTCGGCTGCGCTCTGGGGGAGCCGCTCCTGGGCATGGCAGGAGCCCAGCAGGCGCTCACACCTGGTTTCACTAAATATATTACCAAAAACCATCGCAAAGGTTGTGGTCCTTCTGCACTCTGCTGCTGCAGTGCTGGAGCCCCTAAACACTAATCTTGCAGAGCTGAGGGCAATTTGTTCCTGTTTGTCTGGTTTTTTTCCCCACAGACAATCTTTCTCCTGCAACCGCTTCCTAAATTCACACTGATGACACGGGGTCCTTCTGAGGTTTTTCCCGACAACATTCTGGAGGGCTGAGAGATTGCAAAACATCTCAGTGCTGTCTTATCTGCCAGGGCTCGAGCCACACTCCAGGCTAAACACAGCTGCTGCCAAGCAGAGAAGTTGAACAGTTGCTTAAGGACAACACCATCCATAGAACAAGTGCAGCAAACTTGTTGCCCAAGGAAGGCAACGTAGGCAGCCCTGCTCAGCCACACTCGTCTTATGCCTGGATGCTGTGTCCCCAGTCTCCCTACAATCCCAGTTCTTTGCTCCCAGCCAAGCAGCCTCCATCTCCCACAAGCACAGCATGTTTAGGGGTATTTGGCCGAGGCCACCAGGAGGATCTCAGAGTCCTTGGACCGGCTCACACCGAGCTGTTTGCCCCCAGCAGCCCTCATGGTGCTGAGCTTCCCAGGGAACATCGCGCCTGACGGCGTGCCAGCCTTGTTGTTGGCTGCCGATGAGATAACGTCTCTTAAATCTGGATCTGTGACACGAGGGCGTTCAGCCCCGTT